ATATTCGTAGTCTAGCCGCGTTACTCAGCCTCCACGACTGATCGTTTTCTTTTCCCCCTTTTCCTTTTCTCTTCTTCACCCGCGTCCTCGTCCGCGTCATAAAGCCCATTGAATAATCCAATGGAAATTGCGCGTTCGCACTTCCCTGTAACTCTAACTGTAAACTAAATCCGCGAACGTGAATTGTCCGACGGCGCTTGAATTAAAATAATTAACAGCCCGACGATCTCGCGGCTCGCGTATGAAAATTGTGCGTGCAGCGCGAATTCGCACAGTCAAAACAAAATCGTCGCCCTTTGTGAGCATTTTTTGCAGTAATCGCGATTCGCGCTACGCTCGCGCCTGCTCCTCACTTACGGCAATTGCGCCAAGTGCGCGGTTTTTGCTGTTTCAATTATTCCAATTATTCCGCTCGCGGAATGACGTTCATTTCAAAGAGCGCGCGCACGCGCTATTTTTCATATTTTTCTGTTCTTTTTTTTTCCAACGGACGACGTGGATGCTTAAATCAGACATTTTGCGCTTGCGAATTTCATTTCTCCGATCATTGTTACAGAATATCACACGCGACTGCGACTAAGTTTTTTTCTCTCTCTGCCTTTCTTCTTTTCTCCTCTTTTCCAAGTATCGAGGTTCCCGTCTCCTCCGCCGAGGCTGCGAAGTATTCCAAAAGCTGCCTCTCGCTCTGACGATCAGCGAATATAAAATTAACGCGACGTGCAAACTTCCCGCTTGATCCGCCTTTCATCGTTACCTCGCGTTAACTCCACGACTATTTATCAATCGTCAGAGCGTCACCGACTGCGACCAGGCATCTCCCAGGAGCCTTAAAAAAGCCCTCTTCAATTTACCGGACTAGTTTACCAATTCCTCTCGACATAGCGCGCTTGTGACATAGTTTCGCTTGAGAATTTCCCTGTTCGATTTCCCGCCGACGCGAGAGCCACTTCACATCACTTCCGCCTCGCGCATTTTTCCGAAAATTGTGCAAAAAAGCGCATTCCCGAGTGGATCTGTTCCGCGAAATATCCCGAGCGGCTTCCGCGTGTTTTCGCGACGCGCCCGCGAGCACGGAGATAAATCGTCCCTCCTCCGAGCGGCAATTAGCGAAACTGCCGCCGAATGAGCTGCGAAACATCTCGCGAAATACACTCCGCGCCATCCCGACATCACCGGCTGCTCGCTTGACCGCACAACGTCCTATATTGTGCGCGCTTTGAACGCTACGTGACGGTGATGGCGCGTACGTTGGAAGGTGATTTCGCGTAGCCGAGTTGCTTGTCAGATCGCGGGTATTTCTTTCACAATCCCTTTCGTGCATCGCGATTGGCCGCGATGATGATCCTGACAAGTCTCCTTTTTGTTCTACTTCGTGCCGATGCGGACGTCGACCTTGACGCTCGCCGTTGCGACGTCAAAATATCGCTAGTCGCTTTGATTTCTCCGGAGGGAATGACGTACTTTTGATTTTGCGGAAAGCGGAATACGATTCTCTGCGAAAACGATTCTAGCCCGCCGATTCATCAGCGGATTTCGCGCGTGACGTAAAGCATCGAGGACAGCGCGGTGTTTCGTTGGGAATAACGCCGTTTGCAATCGCCGCTGCCCCGATATCTTTCCTTAGTTATTGTCCTTGGATAAGCCTTTCGAAATTATTTATTTACAGAGATGATGCAACGTAGTCGCGTGCGTGCGATACAAAAAGCTAACGTGATACGCTGCTACCGACGAGTAGAGATCGTCCATGTACGCGCGGTATAGCATTTATTTTAATTTTAATTAATCAGGGGATGTGTTTGATCAAAACGTGCTGCGAATGAAATATCGACGATTCGGAGCGGAACAACAGCGCTGCAATCGCGACTTTTGGCCGGACATTTTCGAGAAGATCGGAGGCGCGAACCAAATTCGTTAACACCCAAAAAACAGATTCTATTTGTAAAGTGATTTTCCTCATAGTTTTATATTTTAAGCGGAGCCTTTTGCAGAAAAAGGATTCCTCTTTCTATAAAGTGATTAAAGAGAAGTCTTTGTAGCTATGAAGTCCATAATAAAACTGATCGGAAATTTATTTGTTATGATGATCTTATCTCATTCGTGCCTGCTTATTGCAGAGCTGGAGTCAGAAATACATCTATATATATGTGTGTATATATACATTATAATAATTTTGTGAAATTAACCAATAGGACCAGTAAGAATAAATAATAATTCTCTTAAAAAAAGAAGATTAAATAATCTGTGCAAGAGGAAATTTATATTAAAATCAAAAAGCTTTGCATTTTATGCATATAACATGCGATCCCTCTAACTTTACGAATAATGTGTTTATAATATTCTCCTCTTAATCTTAGAGGAATCCTCTTGAGGCCGTATATAAGAATAAAATCTCCTCAAATTTAGATGATTCCGCTTGTTCTGAAAATTACTTTCTTTAGGTGTTGAGACGTTTCAGGAGGAGAGTCGTTTCTACCGAGATTTGTCCCTACAACTACATTGTGATCAGCATCCTATCTAGACCCGGATATCTAAAATAATGTGCTTCGGTATGTCTTCCGTAGATACGTGTTACTGGACAAGTTCTAACTTTAAATACCTCTACATAATAATGCGTACTTCCTAAATCGTGCGTGTGGTGTACTAACATTTTCGTACTTTCAGGATACTACAACATGACTGCGAACCGCTCGCTCGATTGATCTCGAAGCCGATGCGTAAGATGAGAAGCAATACAACAGTCGGAGCTTTGAAATTATCGGAGCAGAGTCTCGTGAAAACCGGAAGATTCGGTAACATTCTGCCGCGCGACAGTTTGACCGAGCCCAAGTCGAGCGTGTGCAGAACGTGTCTCGGAATGATCAGCGCTCATTTCCGCGCGCGAGCTTTTCGCCCAGACGGAAACCGACACGTTCGCAGCTCGAGAAGAGACGTCGGTCGAAGCGTCTAGTTTCGGAGTCGCGCGCGGCCGACGAACCGGGCGACGTACACTTCGACCTATCGATTGTTCCCCGATTAATTCTTCAGCAGGACCTCAAACGTAATATCGGTTAGCGAACGATTGAACGGCTGGAGAGGAACCGGGGAAAAGGGCGATCGACGGAAATGAGAGATCGCAACGCGAAGTCTCAACGTGTGTTTCCTCCTTCCGTTCGTTTTTTTTTTTTTTTTTTGCCAAACGTGAGGATCGCGACGACCCGTCGTCGTTCCCGTCGTCGTCGTAGCTCGCGTAGATCATTAGAGAAGAGAAGCGCACGTGCGATAATAGTCGAGCCGAGCTGAGGGAGGTACTGAGCGGCGAGATGGCGTGCACTTTGTGCCGCTTTTGGAGATTACGCGTCCCGTAATTCGCAGGCGGCTTCCTTCCTCGCTGCCGGGCTTCCTTTCGACGCGAGCAGAATTGGTATTTACACGAGGGTGCGCGCGTATTCGCACCGCGTCGGATGACGGAAAAATATTCCAATGCGCGTCCCCGGCGCCGGGGGACATTTTAATTGCTTGTAAAGCGTACGTACACGCGCGTGGAGCTTTTTCTGCTTAATTCAGATTTAATCTGACGTTAATCCCGCCGAATGTTTCGGAACATTTTTGCGGATAATCGACTCGAACGACGGAGGTTTCCCGTCGATTGCTCGTTACGATATTGAATATATTGGCAAATTTTGCGCACAGCACGAGCGCAGGAGCGTCTTCTGCCGTCATGGGGACATTTTGTCCGAACTGATTTGAAATCGGTAGAAACAAAAATGACATCCCTATCCTTGCCCCCGCACTGAATTGACCTTCGCGATCAGGTCTCCAGGAATATTTTCGACCTCCTGACGCCTTTTTGATGTTGCCATCTCGCAAGTTTTGAAAGAGTTCGGTTCGAAAATTTACTGAAAAATTAACTAAAGAAATTTGAAAAATGTCCGAGGGTGATAGTCCCCTATTTCTTCGTCTTCTTTTCAAATCTGAGGCCAAAACATACCGTTGCCGTGAAAAAATTTAAGGGGACAGACACGTCCCTCTTGAAAACGCCCCAAGGGAGGGTCGGATGACTCGGAAATATTTCTTTGAACCGGCGAGTGTCAAATTGGAGGAGGGAGAATAGCCACCATCTGTTATTACCAATCTCAAATCAGCTCGGAGAAAATCCCTCCGAGAAGACGCCCCTGAGCATTCGGAATATTTTTATTTCCCTCGCATGCCGCGGCACGAACCGGGGTGGTCGCCGTGTTCCTGAAGGATAGGGTGCCTCAAATTCGCGCGTTGTCGGTTTCGCTCTTGTCTTTATTGCGTCGATATTGCGGGACGGATCTGCCGTCGCGAAAAAAAAGGAAGTCCTTTTGATCTTCCCGCAGGATCGCGGCATTGCTGTTATGCACTCTGATATTTCTCCGCTACCCCCGTAACGTTCTCGTTATTTCATTGCACCTCTCCCGGTTCCTTATTTCCGTAATTGTACGAGTCCCTCTCCCCCCCTCCTCTCACTCTCTCCCGAGCTCTAGCAACTCACGCTCTGCGACCGCTATTGGGCAGCGGACGAAACTACGCTTTCAGGTTTGCACGTCGCGTGCGATTAGCCAGAGTGCACGTGCGCGTTCCGGTAGAATCAAGAATTTTAGGGAGTAACTCGCGCGCTATTAGAGAGAGAAGTTCGACATGTGCTTCCGTTTACGATTAAATTGAGCGTCTGCGTTCGTTCCATTGGACAGATTTGCCCGCACGCTATGTTGCCTCCTTCGCATCTCGGGATACTTTGAGAACACTGTGAAAACAATCGCGGAGGGACGTCGTTCGTAATACAGTCGCCACGAAGCTACTCGTTCTGTCAAAAATATAATATCCCAATAATATAATCTTTCTCTCTCTCTCTCTCTCTCTCTCTCTCTCTCTCTCTCTCTCTCTCTCTCTTCTCTCTCTCTCTCTCTCTCTCTCTCTCTCTCTCCTCTCCTCTCTCTCTCTCTCTCTCTCTCTCTCTCTCTCTCTTCTCTCTCTCTCTTCTCTCTCTCTCTCTCTCTCTCTCTCTCTCTCTCTTTTCCTTTTCACTCGCAGCCTTCGAAAATATTTACACCGAGAAATGCAAGAGAGGTCCGTTCGTTGAAAAAAATTACGCATTCGATAAACATCAATTTCACGTGCATACCGTTAATGTATATACAGAACGTTCCAAGAAAGATGCGCATCGACAGCGGAAGCTCGTTCGTTTCATATAACTGAAAAGCGCGAGCTTCTTCACCTCAGGAAGACTCACCGGGGCTGCCGAGCGGTTAAAAAGAAGATGACCGATGGCTTGCAATTTCCTCTCAAAAACTACCCCAATTTATATGACGACGAATTTGATGTTCTTTTACGTGAAACTTTTACGCGAACCTCAGCAAAACTCAAAGAGACAGACGAACATCATTTCTCCCCCAGAAACTCGCTGCTCGATCGCTCCGTTAACACGCGCGATCTTGGCTCAAAGAAAAAGGAATCCCCGAGCGCCGTTCTACCGATATTCGATCCAATCAGGACAGAGGCAATTTCTCACTGGACATAATTGCGACTCCCGCTGTCGATGACATCCCGGTGTACTACAAACCCGGTCGGCTCGCGATCTCTCCTTCCAGTTTCAGCGCTCCGGACACCCTCCGGTCGCTGCTATCGGCTTGCCATGTTCCTCGCACCTCGCGGCGATGAATTCTCCGGTCCAACGGGGAGCTTCGCTCGTCGTGCTCGTCGCGCGAATCGTGCGGGCCATCGAGAGTCTTACCTTAAGTAAAGCACTTACGTCTCACTCGCGCGGACGAGCGCCGTTCTCGCTCGGATCGCGCGCGACTGTCCGTCGAGACGAGACGAGACGAGACGAGACGAGACGAGACACGAGACTCATCTTCCCCGACGAGGAGAGGATCCGTCCGTCCCCGTCGGGCCAGCTTACGAGATGTTGCAGTCGTCGGCATGGGCGTCTCGGATCTGCTGCTTCGTCTTCCTCGAGGCGCGCCGGATCAGGCTGCGGCTACGCGGCTTGCTCTTCACCTCCTCGGTGACGGTGACGACGCTGGAGCCCTGAGCCGCGACCACTTGCTGAGGATTCCCGCCGGAACCCGCGCTGCCGGTCCTGCCGCCGGGACTGCCCGACCTGCCGTCACGATGAAATAATAATAACAATAGGTGGTCATTACGAGTCGTCGGAATTGCCGTTGTCGCCGTCGTCGGCTCGGCCGGCGGCTTCGTTACGCGTGCGTTCGTTAAGCCCGTGTTGGTTTGCGTCTTAATTGTGATTTATGAATGAGCTGTGGCGTCGAGCGAAGTAATAACGCGTCACTAGTATAATGCCGTTACCTTCGCGAGTTACTTCTTTCCCGGAAGCGCGACGACGTTGTTTCTTTCTTTCCTTTTTTCGTTCATTAGCGAGGATGACGTTGAGCCAATCTCGTGCTAATTTCGATTGACGTTTGAACGTTTCATTCGTCAAGACGGATTTTCCTTCCGATCGTATTTCGAGCGAGACTGTTGCCATGCGTGGCTATTACTAGGTGCGCAACTAAGTTTCCGAGTTTTTTTGATCAATGAAAAATGAAAGATTTCGAGAGGAATACAAAAAATGGTTTATTCAAAGTATCGTCCCTCGCTAGCTACACATTTTTGCCATCTCTCTGGCAATACGTGAATGCCGCGGCGATAAAACGACGCGTCTTTGGACCGAAACCATTCATCCAACCAATTTTGCACTTGTTCGAAATTGGCCAAGTGTTGGCCAGCCAAGCCATGCGCCATCGACCGGAACGAGTGATAATCGGAAGGGGCCAGGTCTGGCGAATACGGCGGGTGTGGTGGCAGATCCCATTTCAGCGTTTCCATGGTGTCCTGGACGGTGGAAGTGCGACGGCACGGAGCGTTTTGTCGTGCTGCAATATCACTCGTTCGTGTCTCGTGTCCTATTCTGGCCGTTTCTCGAGCAATGCATGGTTCAAATTGATCAGTTGTTGTTGGTAGCGATGCCCATTGACAGTTTCGCCCGGCTTCTTTTCAGCAGCTCATAGTACACGATTCCTTTCTGGTCCCACCAAACGCAGAGCATTGTCTTCTTTCCGAAGCGATTTGGCCGTGCCGTCGATGTTGATGCTTCGCCAGGTGAAAGCCACGATTTTTTGCGTTTGGGATTCTCGAAATATATCCACTTCTCATCGCCAGTAACAATTCGATGCAGGAAATGCTCTTTCTTTCATGCCGCCAAAGCAAAATTTCGGAAGTGGCTCTTCGATTTTCCATCTGTCTCTCAGTCAACTCATGCGGCACCCATTTTCCTTCCTTTTGAATTTTTCCCATGGCATGTTTGGGAATACCTTGGCGAGTCATGTTTAATGCCGCTCCGCAAGTTGATCTTGTGTTTGCGTATCATCTTCATCCAATAACGCTTGCAGATCGGCATCCTCCGGCTTGTTTCTAGTCTTCCGGAGCGCTCCTTGTCCTCAGTGTCGAAATCGCCACTTCTGAAGCGTTTAAACCAATCTTCACAGGTAGATTTTCGATGGTGCATGTTCGCCGTAGGCCTCCTCAAGCAAACGACGCGCTTCAGCTGCACTTTCTTTCAAGTTAAAGCAGAAAAGCAAAGCTTCCCGCAAATGCTGTTTATTTGCCACAAAACTCGACATCTTCGTTGTTAGAAAAAATATTTTTGCGTTGCGATATGTGTTGGTATTACGACTGGTTATTGTTAACAGATGTCCAAGCTATAAGAAAAACACAACTTCAGACATGTATGTCGACTACATGTGTCGTTAGCGCCATCCATACGTGAAACCCGGAAACATAGTTGCGCACCTAGTATTTCGAATTAATTATGTAAGAAGGACGCGCATGCGGACTCTTCAGGATCACAACTTGCCGGGCGGACGAGTCGGCCGCGGAAGCTCCAAATTCGCTGCTCGACGTATAACACACACAATGTTCTTTCCACAAGGATTAAAAATATATATCGCGGGCGCGCGCGCGCTTCACACGGTCGCATAACAAAACAAGGTGTGGCAACAAGCAAAAAAAGAAAAATATCAAGCGTGCTGATGCGCGCGAGCGCGGGCTCGAGTACTATCGGATATCAATAATAGCCCGTACGCGGCCGCGGCGCGTCGCGCACAGATCCTCATCGGTGACGTCATCGCGCGGATCTGCATCGATCGCGGAAAAAGCGTAAGCGCGGGTGTTTCGCAGATCACCCGACGCGACAGCGTCGACTGGTCGACGCGACGCGGACGGCCATTGAAAACTTTTTGCCATCGGACCAGCAGCGTTTTGTCAGCGACGTAGTCGATCGACCAGTCGCGCACGCCGCGCACGATTGAACGAGCCGCAATTGAAGAACTGGCCGATGGGAAACGTCCCGAGCGGCGGCCGATGAAAAGCGGCTCGCCCGAAGGCCGAGTAACGTCAGCGTTTACCGTACCTGCGCGATCCATACGCCGAGCATCTCCTCCTGAGGCCCGACTCGTCGGACTCGCCGGTGGGGTTCTTCGGCACGATCCTGGACAACGTGACGAAGCACCTGAAGATATCCTTGATGTTGTAGTCGTCCTTGGCCGAGCACTCCATCACCTTGGCGCGCAGCTTCGGCAATTCGCAAAACAGCCACTCGCTCACGTCCTCGATGGGCACTTCCCTTCGCGCCGGCGCCAGGTCGAGCTTGTTACCGGCGACGACTATCGGCACCTCCTGTCGCAGAGCAATCGCATCCTTGTTGAGATCTTTCCCCGCTCAAAGCAGCGCGCTCAAATCTCGCATTCTGAGCGAGGCCAGCTCGAAGAGGGAGACTGGCCTCGTCGGTTTTATCTTATCTCTCTCTCTCTCTCTCTCTCTCTCTCTCTTTCTCTCTCTTTTGCCACGCACCTGGAAGTCGGGTCGTTGTTCTCTCACTTCCTCGAAGCAGCGTTTCACACACTCGAAACTCGGCAACGACGTGGTCGCGTACACGAGGAGGAATGCGTGGGCGGTGGCTATGCTCAAACGCCTCATCGCGGGGAATTGCAGGTCACCTGGGCGGAGAAAAATAAAAAATTCTCGATTGAACGGGTGCTCTCTCTCTCTCTCTCTCTCTCTCTCTCTCTCGGGATGCGGGTGCTTTACTCGCTCATCGGCTACGCCATTCACTCTCCAACCCGACTCGTATTTATCCGCTGGACGTTACCGCGCAGCGAAAGTTTACGTAAGCCCGTTTCGCGCGATCTCTGTCTCGTTTCGCTGCTGTGAAAAACACGCACTTTATCCGGCCGAGGGCCGGAGCTATTAGTTGTTGTATGATGTACTTTTAACGTTTTGTAGCCTCGTGACACCCTCTGGCGGAAGTAAATGTCAGTCGGACATTTGTTGAACGATTTTCGTAAATTTCACAATTTCGTACTTTGAGAATAAATTTCTAAGCTCACAGGACACGCAAAAATGATAGAGCAAAAATGAAGGTAGTTTTCTTATATAATTAGACCCTGCGGAATCGATTGAGCTTATGAACCTAAGAAACCTAATCGGTGCAGCCGTTATAGCGGTACGAAAATATATCCTATGATCAACTAGAGCTTTCGCGTAATAATACACGGCTCGGTCTCGCCGCCTCGCTCGCGCGTTCGTTTGGCACGAGACACTACCTCTCTTGATGTCTCTTGATAACCTGAGCTATTCGCTTCTATGAGTTCCATCCATCGTTAACCATTCGACGCGTGCTGGCTGACCCGGAGCGCGCGACCGTAATTTTTATTTTACTCGGAGCTCCTCCAAACAATTTGGAGGGGCGATCTTTCCTCGTCGAAAGTGCCCAAGGAGATCGTTCTTCATGAGCGACCTTCGGGTAGTCACAACTCACCCTTGTAACGAAAGTCCCAAAGCAAACTTGTGTTTGGATGAGGCGCACTCGAGATCGAAGGAGAAAAGTAAGCCGTCGACTCGAAAGCCTGATCGAGTCATCCTGCGCGATTCAATTGGACGGATTGTTCCAATTGTCTGCAGCAACGCCTGCGTCACTTTACACCGTCGTGTCGTCAAACCGAACGTGAAATTCGCAGTCGCGAGGGATACGGGAGAGCCCGACAATTACGCGCATTACACGTCGCTGATGTGGCGTATTGTTCTTAGATTTATAGAGTAGAATTAATTCCTCCTCGGGGGGGCATAAGCGTGTAATACCTTTGAGTCGCGAATCTCTCTGAGTTGCATCGAATGCAAATGGCTTCTCGACGGTGTATCGATCAGGCGGAAAATAGCGGGCGTGTGGAACGGCAAGATCGCGTATTACCTGCATTCGTACGCGGATATATAACGCGAAATAATCCGAAAGCGTCTCCTCCGCCGTGTAATGTATGCATTATGTACAGGGTGTCCAATTACAATTAATGACATGATGCTCGTGTGCAGGTGGGCCGTGTCTCATTTTGCAATTCTCGCATTTATTTATTTATCGAAGAATTTTGACTAAAACGATTAATTCGAAGGAATTAATTAAAAAATATTAGCGAACGCCAGAGACTGCGAGACTTCTCCAAATGTCTCGGCAGCCTCTTGATTCTTTCAGTCGACCCCGTAGAATTTTCTAGTCGATTAACGCCTCGTCAACTCATCGAGATTGTCAACAGACCGCGACAGTTTAGACGAGACTTTGCGCAAAGAGATCGTCCTCGCTTGCTAATGGCGTTTAATGACTTCCTCATGATAGTTATCGTCGAAATTGCAAAATGGCTCCGCCCTCGGCTTGGCGCAGTCTATCCGATGGTTTCGTCATCAACTGCCCGATACCCCGTATATACAGGGCGCTAAATTTCAAACGTAACAGGTAAAACATTTCGGAAACTATGAAAGATATTAAAAAAAGCTAAAACACGGGTCCCATGATTTCGAAGGGGAAAGAGAATGGCATTATCAGTTTTTTATTCGGAGGGAATTTTCAGGGTCGGTTGAAAGTCAACTTAATTTTTTTAAATAGAAAGCCCAATCTTTTATTATATCTTCTTTTTCTACCAATTAATTTGAACAACTTTTGTCTGAAACATTTTTTTTATTTGCCTAATATTTTTTTAAATATTTAAGGAAAACTCGGAAACTTTTTCAAGATTTAACTTACGATATCTCGCTAAGTATTCGTCGAAAGAGAAAATAGTATTAGACTTTTTTACTTTATTTACTATCAAGAATATATCACTATAATAGTGCCCTAACTTTTGTTAACTTATCGACCTTTGGAAATTTCAAAATTATTAAATTAACAAAAGTTAGGGCACTATTATAGTAATATATTCTTGATGAGTAAATAAAGTAAAAAAGTCTACTACTAACTGTGCTACTATTTTTTTTCTTTCGACAAATAGTTAGCGAGATATCGTAAGTTAAATATTGAAAAAGTTTCCGAGTTTTCCTTAAATATCTCAAAAAATATTAGGCAAATCAAAAGATCAGGTCTCAGACAAAAGTTGTTCAGATTAATTAGCAGAAAAGGATGATGTGATAAAAAATGGGGGTTTCTGTTAAAAAAAAATAAGTTGACCTTCAACTGACCTTGAAGATGCCCTCCAAATAAAAAACTGACAATGCCATTCTCTTTCCCCTTCGAAATCATGGGACATGTGTTTCAGCTTTTTTCAATATCTTTCATAGTTTTCGAGCGTTTTTTACCCGTTGCGTTTGAAATTTAGCACCCTGTACATACGGCGCGTTTACCCCGCAGCTTTTTCCGATACTCATGACTCTTCCGCTAAAAAGTCGCCGCAGAGACACGTCGTGTCCTCGTCGCGCAATCTCGATCTCCGTAACGGCCCCGTGTGTGCACGCGCACTTTGTATGTATAACTACATTCTGCGCTGAAAAGTTATTCCACGCGCACGCGGTTATCCCGACAATATCGGGGCTCTCTTCGTTTTCAATCGAAACACTGACCGCCTCGTGTTTTCACCGTCGACGATGCGCGCGCGTAACTCTTCCGCGTGATTCGACCTCGCGCGATGATGGACTCGACGAGGTGAAAAACACCCGAGGAGAGCTGACGGCTATTGAGGAAACACCGAGTGCTTCCCGTCGAGTTATCTCGTTTTCAGTTCTACCGTTTTTGTCACCACGTGCGATACTTTTATTACCATACCCGCTTAGAGAAGTCAGGACGCCGTCGCGGAGGTTCCCTCGCAGAGAAGCCGGCGGTGTTTGACGCGATTTCAACTCCGCGCTTTCTCAACCTCTAAATTCCGCAAAGTGGAAAAATGGCGAAAAATCGAATGTTTCACTCGAGCTTGGAGGATCGGCGAATAGATCAGGCTTACTCTTTGATCTCGAGATCGAAGATGTCCACTCGACAACCCAATAATGTGCGACATCGGACATACGTGCGAGTCGCGGCCCCTCACGGCGTCTTCGGCGATCCGAAGTTCAGTCGAGCGAAGCCGAACAACAATCGCGGATCGACATCGGAGATCGCAGCCGACGAGCTAATTAGTCGAAGCGGCGCCGCGCGCGGGGAATTCCCGAGAGTCCCGACTCACCCGCGGTGTCCAAGAGGTCGACCTTGAGCGTCAAGGTGCCGAGGACGCATTCCCGGGAGTAGAGGTCCTCCACAGTGGGCCGGTACCGCTCGCTGAAGCCTTGGCCGAGCAACCGGCGTATAATAGCGCTCTTGCCGACCCCGGCGCCGCCGAGCACCACCAGCCGGATCCTCTCGAGATCGGCCATACTGTCGTCGCTTGGCCGCGGCCGCGGCCGGTCGCCCCGTGACCTCGAGCACGACCGCGAGAATGCCGCCTCAGGAAGGCATTACCCGGGAGGTCGGTCGTAGCCTCCACCTCCTGAAAATCCAATACGACCTCCTCGTCCCTCCAACACCCCGCGCCGACCGCCGCGTCCGGTGCTCGATCGTCCTACCCGCCGTCCTCCTCCTCCTCCTCCTCCTCCCCGTCGTCGTCGGCGTCCCCTTGCCCGCCGACCGGCTTCGTCTGGATATTAATTCGATTCCCCGCGGCGGTCCTTGCCCTGACCGCGGTCAGGAGCGGCCAGATGACGATGGCGAACGAGCGCGCTCCGCGATATCGATCGATCGCGATCGACGTCGCTGCGAAACGATCGCGTTTTTCCACCCGACGTCGCTGCCCGCCGACGTCGACCTCTCCATTCACTCACCTCCGCTGCGCTGCGCTCTCGCGGCACCTCGCATCCTCCTCCGGGGAAATCGCGGCTGCCTTCGAGCTTGTGCCCCTGTTGAGACAGAGAGAGAGAGAGAAAGAGACGGGGAGAGAGAGAGAGAGAGAAAGAGAAAGAGAGAGAGAGAGAGAGAGAGAGAGAGAGAGAGAGAGAGACAGCGAGAGCGAGAGAGAGAGAGAGAGAGAGAGGGAGGGAGGGAGAGAGAGAGAGAGAGAAAGACCGTCGTCCTGTTTCGTCATCAGCGTCAAACACAAAGTTACTCGGCGATATCGAATTACAAGGAAGGAGCAAGGCAACGCCGTTTAAGACTGCCAAGGGCACCGGAAATTGGGCTAAACGGTATAATTAACGAGCCGTCGCGCGCCAATCGGAATATTCCGGTCTTAGGGGCGGGTTTTAACGAGACCACGTCACTCGGAGTCTCGCTCCGAACGTCCGCCGCGGCATCGATTTTTCGAAAACCCGATATGCCACGCTTGTGAATTTTTTAGAAGAGCACCCTCCCTCATCAGGTCTTGCGACGCTTTTTTCCAGGTCGTCGACGAGCGGACGAAGTAAAGAATCACAGCGAACCGCGATACCGCAGTGTCGGAAGAAAGCTGGAAGAAAAAGTGGACGAGTGCGTCGACTTGATTGATTATTTTTACTCGGACTTTCAGAAATAGAAAAGCCGCAGGTTCAGCTTTACCCGCGCTAATTGAGCGCCGCACTCCTTCGAGAGGATCAAGGACAGCGCAGGGGATGCAATTGTCCGACGGCTTGCGTCGGGCTTGCTCGTGCGAGACAAGCAATTTCCGATGTTTCCGCGGCGAGATCAGACGAGATCGCGCGTCTCAATGTCGTGATAATCTCGCGAAAAACAATGCACGCGCGCGACGGAAGATGCCGGGTTGGCGGGTGAAAAGTGTGCGCGCATTGTTTCGTAAAATTACAACATCGTACAGAGAGATACGATCGCCGCGCGTTCCAGCCGGGAGAATAGTCTGCGAGTTGCGCTTATCGCGCCGGCCGCTAACAAACGTGGAATCGCGGCTTTCGCGTTCCTATCAACGGTCACCGGGCGCAATCAGGTTACCTCCTCTGGCGACCTGGTACATAATTTAGCGGAAATTAACGTGACTCGGAAATACCGCGGGATTCCGTTCGCCGGGCGGAAACGGGGCGAGCGCGTGGCCGTGCTTCTTTCGCGACGAACGCTCGTGGGAAATGAATACGTAACGCTCCGCGAAATGTGGCGAAACGAGACTCGGCGGCTACGTGCGTGCGTGCGTGAGCCGTTTACATGAAATCCCGATCCCGGGGATGCTGCTCCGCGACTCGACCGCGGTCTCCACCCGCAATCTCGCGCGCAACTTGCTCTCTCACGACACTCCCGTTTATTATCCCGCGTACTCGCTTCTCAGTTTCACGTCTCTAGTCTTATTGATCCAATCGTCTCCGTTGTTGCACGCACTCGCACGCACGCGTGTGACTCGCTGGCAGACTTGATGCGTGAAAGCGTCGACGAGAGCGACGATACTGCCCGAGCAAGAAATTGTTGGGGCCATCCTCATGAAGCATAAAACCCCGATAAGGCTGTAAGTAGGGTGTTCTAAAAAAGGATGCCTGATTATTATCACATCAAGCCACGAGATGAATCTTTGGAGATATCTTAGATTTTACGAAATAAGACTTTGATAAGAAAAACTGACGAGGGCCTTGGAAGGATTGATCAGGGGTGCTTAGATATACCAAATCAAGTTTCGTTATAGAAAATTAATAAGATCTGAAGCGTATAATAAAATTATCATAGTTTAGTGTTAGCAGGTACGCTATATCTGGTTCTTTTAAAGACTTTTTAATCATACCACAATTAAAAACAAATTTTATTAGTTTTGTTAGTTGCCATATTCATTAGTCTCTTCCAAGGATTTTTCCTAGTATTACCTTCATTTTAAAATGCAGCAAACTTTAATAAAAACAATAGCAGGATTTTTATGTGCAAAGAATGTTATATTTTATTGTATAAAGTATGCTATATTTTTAAAATAAAAAATTCTTGTTATATACTAACAAGGTTATAAAGAAATAAGGAAATTACAGTCTAAATTTCTTGCAATGAAAAGAACGAATATTTTGACTCAAGCAATAATAAAAATATTTCCTTGTGAAAAATTTCCTTATAATATTTCCTACTAATATTGCCTTAGAAGGCTCTCTTGATATTGCCTTACAAGCTCCTCCTTAATATTGCCTTATAAGGACCCGTTAAACCATTTGTTACACATTTTGCAGGAACCTTTTGTCCTTCTATTCCTACTTAGGGCCCGATTAATGTTAGGCAAAAATAATCAGGCCCTTACCAGAGCCCTATTAATTTTTCTACTCGGGTGATATCGATTTGCGCGAAATGCGGCCACTGTCGCCACTGGACGCTGACTAATCGCGTCTCAAATGTATTACATTTTTTGCACTTTCGCGCATCGATCGCGAGCAACGACGCCACTCGTCGTCGCGGGCCAGATTCCCGTGATTAATGGGGCGGACAAACGTAAAACGTACCGGTGAAAATGCACGAGGACGTGTTTTTCTCATCTCCATTTTTATGATTCAACACATCGACGTGTCGTGTGACGCGTCGAAGAAGAAGAAAAAAAAGCGCCCCCTTGGCCGACCCCCTTCGCCACGGCGAACGCGCGAGCTCTCCGTTCGATGGGAATTTATCGTGCCGGCTCGCCGGTTAATCGTGTTTAATCTCAGCTCGCGCGCGTAATGAAATTTCGCCGGCGGTGTATTTGCAATCCGCGCGCGCGCGCGCGCTGGAAAAGCGCGTCTCATAGCTGTCGCCGCGGCTCGCATAATTCACCCCCGCCGCGTCGCGCAAGGTTCATGAAGGAAACCATGAGAGGAGCCTCGCTTCTGCGCGATTTACCCCGCCGCTCAGTTATCTTTCCCCCTCATGCCCTCTTTCTTAATTTTTCACGCTGAGTGGGAGCTCCTAATGGCGCGTCTCTATTCTCAAGATCTCTTTACCACGACAAATGTAAGCGTTCTTGTTGCAACATCGTGTCTAATTCATAGCGATATTCAGAGTATTTTGCTGCCTCGCGCGAGATGACGATTATGTCTCTCTCTCTCTCTCTCTCTCTCTCTCTCTCTCTCTCTCTCTCTCTCTCTCTCTCTCTCTCTTCCTCTCTCCCTCCCTCTCCCGAGCGTTAAATTCTTTCGCAGATCTTCCTCTCGCTAGTCTCTCCCGTGATAGCGCGGCTTCCTCGCAAAAGCGCAACCTTCAACTCGCAATTACGCGCATACCACGTCGACACTCATTTCCATGCGCGTCTATGCTGCTGTAACGCTTTTGTTAATCCCAAGAGTTAACCACCCCGGGAATAATATACTCTACTCTTTCTCTCTTTCGCTTTCCGCCCCCTCTCTCTCTCTCTCTCTCTCTCTCTCTCTCTCTCTCGGTCGCTCGCTCGCCGGCTATCTCTTTCTTACCGTCAGGGATCTCCGTGCCCTCTTGGCGAGAGTCACAGGTGGCTGTCGGCGCCCTCCTCCTCCTCCTCCTCCTCCTCCTCCTCCTCCTCCTCCTCCTCCTCCTCCTCCTCCTCCTCCTCCTCCTCCTGCTGCTCCTCCTCCTTCCTCCGGCGAGACCGTCCCGCGGAAATTTCTACGGGATTAAGACGTCGCTGCTGCGCGACAGCTGGCTCTGTTTCACAAAATAAGCCTTTAATCATCGAGACGCTCATTAGACGCGCCGGGGCTTTTTGCGCCGCTCGTCGCGGCGAATCCTCGAGAGCCTCGACCTCTACTCGCCTCGCCCGACGAATGAAACCCGCGAACTGTCTCGGTGCCGCTTTAATGAATTCGACGGTTCACGCACCGCGGGAAGTGTATTCGTCGCGGTTTGCCCTTCGCCGCATTACGCTTTCGTCGCGCGACTTGAGATCATCTCGAGATGAGCGAAGCGGTGTAGCACCCGCGAGGCTTATTAAACCATCGCGTCGTTCGTGTCAAAGGTCGCGGGGAAGTGTCTCCCGAGTCAGGTCTTCCGAGAGCAGCCGGTAACGAAAGCGCGCAGAGTCCTGCGAGAGCGAGGCGGGAAGAGAGCCGAGGTGGTGGACATTTTTAACGAACGATACCATTGCGTCGGATCGGGACGTGCCTCGCGCATTCAACAGCTTTTGCGCCTCCTTTTCTCTTTTCTCTAAGACAAATCAACGTCTCTGTGCCGCCGCGCCGGTGGCTGATCCTGCAACAGACGAAAAGCTTTAGCCTTTAGAGGACCGGGGTGGCTCCTATAGGAACCGCATATAAATCGGCATTCGGTGTTTTCTTAAAGATTATATTATAAGTTATTTATGCATTTGTGTCAATGTTTATGTGCTCTAAAAATATATATTTGCATATGTGTCCGTGTGATTTTTACCTTACCTTGTAAATAAACATTTATTAACAAGTACACATTTTAACTGCATAATAATTTGCATCTCAGTACGTTTTTATTTATAATAGACCCACTTTCTCTCAAAATTATATAAAATCAGCACACAACACTATTAGAGTTTCGATTGCGCACAGTGTGTGATAACAATCACTCTAAAAGTAACAAATAAGTATAAAAAATATAGAGAAATAGTTTTTGAAATAAAATAATTTTCATTGTTTTTTAGAACCAAAATTTAAAAAATTATAAAAAATAAAGAAATTTAAAAAATTTTTAAATAACAAAAAATACAAAAAAACAGAGGAGCAACATAACTTTCGACGTCCACGTCGTTAGTTTTGGGTTATGCTAAAGTTTTATTACCGTATGAGATTACTTATAGTAATATAGACTTATTTTAGATAAATAATTGCTTTTCTTTGTAAAATTTCGATAGTCTGATGTCAAAATAATGATCAGCGATATAACAAAACCCCTAAAACTGCCAAGATCCAAATTTTGAAAATTTTTTATTTTGGCGGTTCCGGACCGGACCGGGGTGACTCCTATAGGAGCCACTAACAAACTCGAAAACTCTACGCGACATGATGGTTACATATATATATATAAATTTTCCGCGAAAAAAATTGCAAATTTTAAAGGAAAAGTGTCAGTCCTCTAAAAGTTAACGGCACCTTCGAACCGATTTGAGCGGCTCATATCGTGGTGTGTGTGTGTGTGCGTGTGTGTGTGTGTGTGAGTAGCACGCCCTTTCTTCCCAATTTAGCAAGGACGTAAATTTGTTGCGCAGGTAAACAGACATGCATTAACGGAGATATAAAAAATAGGTGTACGATTAACATAATTATCAATACTAGAAACAGGTAAATAATTGATAATGACGATAATAATAATAATGTTTCCATCGTGTATTTCGCGGCTATTCTCGGCCAAAATCACGGTTGACTTAACAGCTGGTCGCGGATAAAGTTTTCTTCGTTTACGCGGCGAGAATGATTTTTCAGCACTCGAGGAGAAAGCTGCGTGTCCTTAGGGAGAATCATAACGTCGACAGGACGTCGCAGTTGAGAGCGGAGAAGCGCTTTGGATCAGAGCGATGATAGAGATTTGTCGCAGACACACGTGCGAATGTCCCGCGCGGAACGCGCCATTTATTCCCTGTGAATCCGCGCTTGCCCTTTTGTTTCCAAACTGATTAAAACGGGCAAACCCGGGTAAACGAGAGGAATTAATCGCGGCATCCGCCTATCTTAACCGCCGAGAGAAACGGAATCCCCGAGCTATTAAGATAATTATGCGCGTCATTGCTTGGCTTCTCGGCCAGGCGTGCTCGCGTGCGTTAAGCCGCTTTCGCATTTTCGTCGCCCGAGGTGGATTCGCCAAATTCCTCCGCGCTTTTTTTCCGTCGTGCTCAACGCGGAACAACACGCCGCATCGATCGACACCGCCGCCGTATCGGTAAACACAATCTTTTATCCTTCGAAAGCAGCTTTGTCGGGCGCGACGAGAGGCCGGGGGAATTTTCTAATGGAACCACGTTATCCGTTACGTCGCGATTATCACAATCTCGCGATACTTTCCCCGCCGGAAAATATTCGATATTCGGAAACTGGGACAATCATCATACCGGGAAGTCATAATGCCGAAATTCGAATACCGTGGCAATATTCCGAATATGCCGGGGCAATATCTCGGAACACAATTTTCCCAAAGTATGCAGTCGTTCCGATGAGGCGCTATTGCCTGAAAATAATACACGCGGGTGCACCGGGTATCCGCCCGGTGGATTATAATACATCGCGCTGTACTCAAATGAGCAGATACTCTCGGGCAACGACTTTCCAGAAAATCCTTTTGCGCTTCGATACGTTCCTTTGGTGTACGCGAGAAAAACGCGGCCGAGTCGACGAGGTCAACACAGCGACATTCAATAATTCAACGGCGGCATGGCTCAAACTAATACGTCGCACATACCACTGTGATCAAAAAGTATCCGAACTTTATTTTTAAAAATCAAAATTACAATTCAATCATGAAAATTCTTATAGTCTCCTTCAAAGTAGTCCCCATTGCTTGCAACGCACATATGCCAGCGTTTGATCCAGTCCTGGAAACATCGCTCATACGCGGCAGCTATTATTAGGAAATAATTCAAAATTCTCCGTTCTTTTACAATAAAAAAATTAATATCTCGAAATGAAATATTTTGACGGAGTTGTTCATGGTTCACTTGAGAGCCGGATGAACAAATATTATTGCTTTAAAATTTCAAATCGATACGAAGCTCAGTTTCGGAGAAATCACTGCAAAAAGTCGAACAATAAAATTTCGAGAAAAGCCCGTTTGAAATTTAAGTGGACGTATATTTATATGAATATTTGTTAATAAACAAAATGTTTCTACTCTTTATATGTTATATAAATATATCGAAAATTTTCATTCCTGCACATTTATTCAGTTCGTCACAAAATATTCACAAAAATAAGCACGATTTTTCAGTAAACTGACCCTCCAGTCCCTTTAAGAAAGCAAACGGATTTGATTTACAGTTTAGCCGCGAATTAAAAAAAATAAAGTTGGCATACTTTTTGATCACAGTACGTAGTATTGTCTCAACGACTCAAGCGTCGCTCTCAATCACATCGCCGCTGAATCAGGAAGATTACCTTAGATAAGTTCGCCCTTGTACCGGCCAATTTATTGATTCAACGTTATTTCTCCCGCTGTATATACATTTATAGTCGTGCTGGAGCCTGTGTGCCTTCCGCAAGAGCCGCGAGAGCAAAGTCGTTCGTCATTCGCAACTCGCCGTATCGTGCCTTGAAGCCTTATCGGATTTCACCCCCTCGCAAATATTTCTTCTTCACGGCGACCCGCAGCACACACAGGTACGCCTTCGTAATTAATTCGGCGCCGTCGCAACGACGAAAAGTTGGAGTTTGCCTTCGCCGTCGAGCGGAAGTGCCGCTCCCTCTTTTGCGAGAAAAAAGAGAAGAAAAAGGAAGAACAGGAAAAGAAAAACCCGTTCGCGCGCGGGCTGAAGCGGGCGCAAATTTACCCGCGCATTATTACTTCCCGCGATGAGGAAACTTCGTTATTGTAGGATGATCACCGTGGAAGCGGGTAAAAGCCCTTTTCGCGCGGCTCTGCGGAGACCCGCAGAAATGGGGGAACGCAGGCTCCTCGTCCCGGACTCGTCGCGGCGTCGCGTTACACAAGGACGCAAATCCTGCCAGAGCTCGTTACTGCGACGGAGCTAGTCGCAAACGGATCCCGCGGCGGTCCGTCGTGAACAATCGCACAATCGCAGCCGGGGAGTTGCCTCGTATCGAGAGGATGTCGCGAAGGAGTCCAAGACGAAGAAGTCTGTCCAGCCTCGCCGCGAAGGCCAAGCTGATCCGTCATTTGCGTGAAGAAGATCTTGTCAGCGGATCGTTCCGCTGGAATCTCGCGGAGACTCACAAGTATGTCACCACGGCAAGTACTCGATACTTGAACGAAGATAAGAGAGGATTCATCCCCTCTCTCTCGCTTCCTCCCAAATGCATGTTGAACAGCGGATAGCCGCCCGTCAGCGATTGTCGCCGGATGTCGACGCCGCAACCTCGCCGCCGCACGTGCGTTTTCGAGGATGGGGTGAGTAAAAGTCGCTCGCGGCTCGCTGACCGTGCGAGAAAGGGACTTCGCGGCTGTACAGGCTTAATGTAGCGTGAATGATGCTTGGATCATGTTTTGGGGACACCCCGATTTCCCTGGCTGGCGGGGACCCGCCGAGATCCCGCGGGATACCGGCGTATAAGGCGCTGTCACGGGGGTGGATTCAAGAGCGAGGGCGAGGCGCGGGGAGGTCGATTCGACAGTGCTTACACGAGTGTGAAATAAGGCCAGGTACGTCGACTGACAGCCCGACTACCATGGCAACGCCCACGGCGCCCCGCCGTGGAAGGAAACGCGGCAGCGGCTCCCTCGTAATGTGTATCCTTCCGCTTTGTCGAAGATCCACGTGGAAGAGGCGGCCGATGGAAACCTCCAACAGATGATCGCGCGTGCCACGACTATCCGCCTGCGCGAACACGAGTAATCGCGAGCGCGACGAGGAATGTGCGAGCGAGAGCGCTGGGGGGTGCTCCAGCGAAACTGAAGGGTGCGAAGTCGCGGAGGCTCCGCCAATCGCGCCTCCCCGCAACACTCGAAGAGGCATATCGGATAATGATGAGGCGAATTAGAAGAATAAATTCAGCAAATCGAGTGGGGCTTATTGTCTATAATTATTTTCTAATTTATTTCACAATTTTGCGGTGAATAAGAAGCAGATTTCGTGACGGAGGGATGTAGTGGAGGTTATCGTGGAATATCGTCGCAAGAAATATACCGCTGAATAATAAAGTATTCCAACATCGCGCTGGAGAATCGCAACAGCGATATCCGATGCGAGGGGCAAGGAGAAGGGGAAGCCTACGGAAGCTGCGAGCAAGCTTCACGAATAGTCGCCGAAGAAGGCGCACGGCCTCGTTCATCCCCCTCGATCGGCGCTCATCATCGAGCAGACGCGACCGGGTGCGTCACCGCGAGCGCGGGGAATACGGAATTTCGGCCCGACGCGAAGCCTCGGATAAGCTCGGTGTAAGATCGCCGTCGGCGGCGTTACGCGATTTCCGCCGCTGTCAGCTCCGCCGATTTGCATAATAACGCTCACGAAAATTGCCACGCGGCTTTCGCAGGCACGAGCCGCGGGGTTGGAGCCCCTCGCGCGCAAACAGACCGGCGGCCGATTCATCGGCCAATCGTGTCACGTCGATATCGTG